TGATCCTCCTGTATGTTCACTGTGTATTTTTTTGCTTTGCTGTGTGGTCTTTATCCATAGTAAGTTTCAATGAACTTTTAAGCCTCAGCAGTATTTTGGAAAAGCAGGGATAAACTATACTTCAAAGATTCCTTTTAAACAGTGATGACTGAGGCATGCTTGGTATACTGTTTGATTGATTTTCAGAGATGCTGCATGTTGATTTATAATTGAGCATTTGAAATTAGTGGCATTTTTATCTTCTAACAGTAAAATCCCCAGCACTGTTGTTGCCTAAGGATGTGAAACTTTTAACAACTTCTATTTTTTTCTTCTTTAATTAATTATTTTAAAATATTGTTCAAAAATCTGACAGCGAAGAGATTAATAAAAATAATATGCATTCTTTTCTTTCTGCTTATGATTTTCTGTCTGCTTATTAGAGTTGGTGTTGAGAGGATGAAAGCTAAATAGTACATTAGAAAATTAGATATCCAAATGTGACCAGTTTCCATAATTCGTTTCTCAATAGCACCAGGTTTTTAAAGTTGAGATGTGGTTGTATGTGCTTACTATATAAGTTTTCTTCCTATCCAAGCAAGCATTTCTACTGCCTTAAGGGATTTAGTTGCTCTTGGCAGGATTAATGTAAACATCATTTTCTGCTTGATATTATATTTTTTGTTTCTACAGTTATAAACCTCAACTTGATTCACCTTCAATTGATTTATTTAAATAATGCATTTTATATAATTTCTCTCCCTCTCTCCCATCTTAGTGACAACTTCTCCCATCCTCACTTCTGATAAACACATTGATTTACTTAAGCCACTGTTGTCTTTGTCCCTCCCTCAGCAGACTATCTTCCTCCCAGTGAGCAGACACATGATTTACTATGGAGGATGACAGTGAGCCTTCTTCTTGGTGCTCTATTGTCTGGGCCCTAAACCAGCTGTCTATTAAAATGGTTTCACTTAAAATAGTCAATGCTGTTTATATGCTCCTGGGATCTCCCAGCTGATCTAACCTCAATCAGCTTGCCTCAAACCCCAGAGAGGCACACATTTAAATTAGGAAAAGAAGCAGAAACTTCCCCCCTTAAGTTGGCGTTAGAGGATCCCTATCCTTTTGGGGTTTAACATCTGGGTTTGCTGAACTGTGAGCCAGTCTTGCTGTGTGTGCTAAATGTAGATGGTAGAGACTGGATCAGAGGTTTTCAGGAGCTGGAGGGAGAACTTGACATTGAAAAAAAAGTCTGAAGTATGGGTTATTGTTACTACTGCATTGGAGACGTGGCTCCCTATACCAGATGCCATCAGAATGTTGATTCTGGGCCCCTGTTCTGTGTGCTTTGTGTGTGCATGTGTGTTCTAACAAGTCTTTTTAGTTACAAAACCCTTTTAGGGTTGGAGGTGGTTCTGCCTTTGGATTTCACTAGAAAGCTTGCTCCCTGATCACTGTAGTCAGAGGAATTTAGTCCTTCCTAGTCCATGGTGGACTTCCACTTGCTTTTATTTTAGGAATGCCAGAAGTGACACTTCTTCCTCTGCCTTTCTTTATGCACTGAAAACGTAATCTATCTGGGTCCAAAGAGACGGAAAGCAGAAACTTCGAGATTCCACATCTCCCTAGAGTTCTTAATTATTTCTGAGCAAATCCAAACTCTTGGTTTCATTTTTCTATGCTTGATTTGGAAAAAGATTCTCTGTTTTGACTCTGCTGCCAAAAGCAAAGTGGCAGTTTGGTATTTGGTGAAGAGATGTATTACAGAGGCACTGGACCTTTAACAAGTGATGTTCAGTTACCAAGGAGAAAACGGGACTTCTGAGAGTCCTTGTCATACACTGTCTGGTGTGGGGGTGTCCTGAATGTGCTTTCCTCGCAGTGTGACTTTAACCTGATATCATGAACCCACTCATTTCAATGGAACTAATGGCCTAAGTAAAATAGTGTTTATTTCATCTAGAAAGATTTAAAATGAGAACATCTGACGTAACTGATATGCGTGCCTCCCCCCCAAAGAAAATCACACGTTCTTTTTCCTTTTTTCTTTCTTTCTTCAATAGGGAAAACTTTACTGGTATCTGGAAATTTACTTACCAAGTTACTTGTTTTAGTTTAGCAAGATAAGCACTAAAGTTGAAACAGAGGTTATCTAGAGTATTAAGAGAACATATAAATAATTTAGTGATAAGATTTAGCAGAAATGCGTCATTAAGAATTTTTAGCACTATGCATAGATCTAATCAGTAATTTGCTGTTTTTTTTCTTTTTGAATTTTAGAAACAGTGATTGCATGAAATGAAGACAGATGTATTTTTTTATTATTATGTTAATTAATTAATTGATTAGCTTTGTGAGCAGCACAATGTGAGTGTGGCGGTCAGAGACAATATGGAGCCAGTCCTCTCCTACCATGTGGGTCTTGAAGATTGAACTCAGGTCATCATTCTTGGTAGTAGGTGCCTTTACCTACTGAGCAATCTTCGCCACAAGTTACAGTTTTCAGAGTATTTCTAATGAATGCATTTTCTTGAGTAAAGCAGTTTCTTGGCAATTTGGAAAGGCCATTAAAGAATGTAGAAATGAGGGTCCTGGAGATGGCTCAGAGGATGAAGATGTTTGCTATTCAAGCCTAGAGACCTGAGTTCAATTTTTGGACCTACAAAGTAGAAAGAGAAAACTGACTTCCCTCCCTCATGTTGTTCTCTGACCTCTCCACACATACAATGGCACATGTACCCCACCCCTTGACATGAACAAAATAATAAATAAATATGATAATATAGGGAAGAGTTACATAATACATGCTAAAACTAGTGACAGAGTAAAGCATAGTAAGACATTAACATAATGCAAGTTATTTCTCCAGAAAATATCTATGAATTACTAATAAAGCAAAAGGTAAAATAATGCTGTAGTGTGGAAAGCTGGCTGATGATCACTGGTGGATGCTGGGCATCAATCAAATGGGCAGAGTTCACGTTGGCAGCAGGAGACCTAGGGTCTACCGTAACCTAACTCAGAGAGCATTCAGTATCACACCGCGGTGGTTTGGCCTTGAAGTTCAGAACTTTAATATGAGCTTGAGAAATTCAGATAAACTGAAATAGAGGGAATTTCTACAAAGTAACTGGCTGGTATTCTTAATGTCAATGTCATGAACCACAGAGACTGGAGAATATTTGGAATTAAAGGAGACATAACACCTGGGTGCATGGGTAGTATTGGATTTTCTTTTGCTGTAAAGGACATTATTATGTAATTGGTAAATATCAATAAGGTCCAGAGATTAGATTATTGTATTGTATCGATGCTAATTTTCTGATTTAGATAATTGGACTGTGATTATATATGAAAATTTCTTGTTTTCAGGAAATGCATGCTGAGATATTGAGGACATATCTACAATTTACTAAAAAATGATTTAGGGAAAAAGAAAACTATGAAGCAGAGTTAGTAAACTGCAAACATTTGAGGGATCTGGGTAATGAATATCCTGAACTTTTAAGTATGTTCTTTCTACCATATTATAAGCCTACTTATGTTAAAGTCAAATTATTATTATTATTATTATTATTATTATTATTATTTATTTTGAGACAAGGTCTGGCTATATATTCCTGGCTGGTTTGGAAATTACTATGTTGACCAGACTGGTCTTGAACTCCAGAGATCCATCTGCTTCTGCCTCCAGAGTGCAGGGATTAAAGGCATGCAACACCATGCCCATCCAGTAAAAACATTTTAAAAAATACAAGGTTATGATGAGTTAGCCATAAAAGAACTTTTATTCCAATGGACTAGTGCTTGAGAAATGTTTTCTCTTCATGCAAACACTTTCCCTCCACTTTTAATTTGTTGCCAAGCTTGCTTTGCTATGTGGTCAGATAAGATAACCAGGATGTAACCCGCGGATCTGTCCACCCTGACCTTAAGTTATATAGGCTCTGCAAATCTCAAGTTCAAAAACAAAGTGCATGAAAGAGAGAGTGTGCTGTAAGTTAGGCTTTCTACTTCCTAAGAATAGTCTCCGGTTAATTTAAGTAGTTTTGTCACTAAGAAACTGAGGGTTCTGTGAATGTGTGAAAGTAATTTTATTAACAGTTTGAAGCTGTGTTATATTAGCATTATGCAGCGACACAGTGTTAAGTGAGTTTAATGTATGCTATACAGAACCCTGCTCTGCTGATAGCTGTGTACTTTGAGGTATTAATGTGTAGATCCACAAGGAGGCCTGAGGTTCAGGGAACTTTGCTGATGTTCCGAAGCAAAATGTTGGTGTTCTCATTACAAAAAATAGAGAAAAACATTTTGGCTATGAGGTGGTTTGGGAGTCCAGGTTTTGAGAGTGAGACTTAATTCTTTGTTTAGAATGCTAACTTTGTGACTTCAGCCCCCCCCAGCATATGCAAGCTAGTATTCCTGTTCAGGTGGGGGTACACCCTGTGAAAGCACAGGTTTTCAGCCTGTTGGCAGGAAGAGGGATTTTCCCTGATTGTGAATCACTTCAGAAATGACACAGTCACTGAATGGACTGGTTAGCTTCCCCAACACTCAATTCCTATAGCTAGAACACTAAATGTTGAGCTGGAGAGAGGAAGACACAAAGGTGTGTCATTGACAATTAAACATGCATGCTTTTCTAGATTTGAGATGCTACTGCAACCTATTTGACCTTCTGAGCCATTCCTCCTTATTGATTAGATTTATTTTTATTCTGTATTGAAAAGGAGAATTATGGTTGTCTTGACAACAGGAGCCCATCACATACACTGATCTAATACTGTGTATGGTAAGGTGGTAGACAGGGCAGAGAGGAATGTATCCTGCTACATTCAATTTGGGCTGATCCCGAGCAATGTCATCCTGAAATATCCTGTCATCAGCTCAGTGAGGCTTTCTGCTCCTAAAAGTTAATCAGCCCCCAACAGGGGCAAGGTGGTCAAGAAGTCAATAGTTAGAGCTTATCCTCTACCACTTGTTTCTATTCTTAGTTAAAATCATTCCTTTATTTTCAGGCCATAGTCTATGAAGGCCAGGACAAGAATCCGGAAATGTGCCGAGTATTGCTCACACACGAGATCATGTGCAGGTAAGAGATACCTTGAGCTCCCTCTTTAATTAGCAAATTAAAGATGAATTTATATCTCAAATCTAGGTGAACTTGATTCTATTTTGGGGGTATACATTTATCTTGTTTCTAGTGGATAATCTAGAAAGAATTTTTAGATACCCTTGATAGTGTCAGTCATCACAGAAGTAAGTCCTCAATTATCATATTTCATCTTTAAAGACATTCATTTCCATTTTGGAAAAAGATGTTATTTTTATTTTTAATTATGTGCATACATGCGTGGGTTTGTACAGTACCTGAGGAAGCCAGAAGAAGGCATCGGAGCTCTTGGAGATGGAGTTACAGGTGGTTGTGAACCACCGATTATAGATGTTGGGAACCAAGCACAGGTCCTCTGCAGGAGTTAAGTGCTCTTAATGGTTGAGTCATCTCCTTAGCCCCTACCTTCCATTTCCACTTTGATGTTATACTGTTAATGACCACAAAGCAGAGCCCTTCCTTCTCCTTTGCAATGGAGCAAAATACAATGCAACCCTTTTCGTGTGAATACATGCACTCAGGTGCATTGTTAATAAAATGAGTAAGAGTTCTCTTGAACTCAGTGAAGGTTTCTATTGAGGTAAACTTGAAAGTTATGGTTCCTCCTTTTGAGTTTTCCACTTAAAAATATAACCAATCATACCCAAGCCTTATTTCTCCTTAAACTGTGTATTTCTCTCTTTTTTCTCTTTTTCTTACATCTGTTCTTTTACTTCCTCCATATGCATCCGAACATAGCTAATATTTCTTAGAGATAGTAAGCTTTGAGATTTGGGGAGGATAGCAAAGACCAGTCAAGGACTAAAAATTCATGCTCCTCATAAGTGAATGTCTGGGTTTTTTCTTTTTTTTGGCTGTAATCAGACGGAAGTGGCATTCACCTCCATGGCCTGAGCCAGTCCTCACGTTGAAGGGATGAGACCAGAGAGCAGCCCTTTAGCTTGTATTCTTATTCTTGTGAAATAACCATAGCCTTTGCTCCCAACATATTCAGAGTAATTGGATAAGCAGGAAGATGCCACCACCCATCAGAGGAAGGCTACTAATTGCTTTGCTAGCTGAGCAGGCTCTTCCTGGCACAATGTGTGCTTAGTTACTGATTGCCATTGACCAGTTGATGAGAGAGTTCAGCTGCCACCTCAGCGTGGGGTGGGTGGCCCTCATCTGCTGCTCATAGACTGTGTGGGCAAAACAGTCTCAAGATTCTAGAGGTAGAGATAGAGTCCAAAGGGCTTTGTGTGTTTCCTGAGTGAAATCCTAAGTATTAACACTGTGTCTGAAAAATTCCATTTTTTCCCTCTAAAAAATACTTCTGATTTATTATTCTAAAATATACAGGAGTTTCACAAGTTTTCACTTCAGTGATTTGTAAAACTTGTTAATTATTCTAAAAACCAGATTGTTTTTTCTCTCTTTAAAGCTCAACCAGGTTGTTGAGCTTTAAAGCATCAACAGAACCCAAATATATGGTAGTGGTTTTCTTAGAGTATCGGGCAACAGTTAGTGTTATTCTGTGTGTACTAATTATATATGATAGAGGTGAGTGGTGCTTTTCAGAATTATATGAGTAAAATCCACTTTGAAAAGCATTAAAACATGACCTCCTTTATGTTACTATTTTTCCAATTATTTCTCTATTATTTTAGCCTCCTACAATTAGCATGTAATTAGACTGAATTTTCCATGTAGTATTACATATGATTATAGCAAAACAGGAAATAGACAGGAAGATGGATCTCAACCAACAGGCCAGACACTATCCATACATCATTGATTTGCATATGTTTGGACTATGCTGGAAATAATTCTGTTGAAATACTTAAAGATATATTATGCCTTTCACACACAGGCCTTTCCTCTATTAATGCAGTTTATATTTTCCTTGTTTTTAAAATTCATTGGTCCAAACTGCTTTATTATGCTGGTTGGTGTGCTTCGCAGTTGATGTTCTCTCTATTTTTCAGAAACATAAAAATAACAAAAATAAAATTCTCAAGTCACTGAAGGCAAATGACGCTGTTTGTACCCAGTGGCTAGGAGGGAAAAGCCATATCCCAAATGTCATCCTGCTAATGTTACAGATTACAGCTTTCCTGGCTGCCTATAGATGTGGAAGGGGTACTGTTTGTTTACCAGGATGCCATGACCCCATTACACAAACCTGTCATCTATTGTGTGGCTAACAGTCTTTTAAATTGCAAATCTGATGCTCTTTAGGGGGCTTCAGGAAAAAAAAAATTCTCACTTTCCACACCACCCTATTTCTCTTGATTTCTTGCCTGTTGTAAGTGGAAGTTGGGATGTGCTGAATTTGCACCAGGGGTGCAAATGCAGCCTCAATTATAAGCATAAAATTAGAGTCTGTTCACCATTAATCAGCCTGGCTAATTGCTATGCACCACCATTAGCCATATGGTGTGAAAGACAGCTTGCTCTCCCCAAGATGAAATTTCTTCATTGCAGACATGAAATAGTGAGGGCCCTGGATTTTAAAATAGCTTGTTTTAGATATTTAATTTCTAAACAACTTTCTGCAGTGCTTTCTATCAAAGCTAACGGCACAATAAAACTTTGCATTGATGTCACAAAAGCTGTATGTTTATAGTATGCTGGGTATGAAGAAGAGAATTTAGATAGACAAGAAAGGGGCTTGGTGTGATTCTGTTTATTACTGGCAAATGAAAAAGAAAGATAAACAGGACACAGTTGTGTCTCAGGTGTTACAAATTACCAAAACACCACTGTGTTTTGTGGAGAAGGTGACTCCCATTATGTGGGATGGCCAAAGAAATGGCCACCATTAGTTTATGATTATTGACCCTCAAAGACAAACCCTCTTTGATTTTATGACATGGAGCTCTTCTATAAGATTAGGAGAGTCTCTGCCCTTGGGTGAATTGGAACCTATCATACTGGTTATGGTAGTGAAGTTCTTAAAGCAGGACTCCGTGAATAATGGAGTGCCCTTTTCTTCATAGGACTCTACAAGAGATTTGATTATATGGGCATGCATCCAGCCTGTGCTTAAATGCAAATGGATAAAAAACTCAGCTGGGTAGTTGCACTTTGTTTCCAGCCCCCTCTCCTCCCCAGACATACCAAATAAACCCAATGTTCAGGGCAAAAGCGGAGTACAAGCATCCTCTTTATGGAAATGCTCTTTTTTTTTCTTTACCAATGCTTTATCTGTAGGCAAACCATGAACCCCTCAAGGCTAGCCTGCTTTCTGATAGGCTTTTTCTTCCTCCTTCTTTTCCTGGTCTATTCTGAGTTCCTCCTCCAAGTTTTCCTAAGTGCTTCAGTTGTCCCATTTGTATTTGTGAAGTAGGGCTTTAATATTATCTCATAGGGTGGTACTTAAGGTTAAATGTTATAGTCCCTGTAAATTATTGCTACAGTACTTGACAGAGTCAGAATTGAAAGACTGCTGTGATTAGTCATAGTGATATATCTGCTGTTCCTAGCCAAGTATTTGACTCTCTGTTGCTCAAAGTAAGCAATGGTAAGAGAATATTGAAAGGATGTTATGTGTCTATCAAAACATGAATCTACTTGGCTCATTACAATTGTGGTGGTTATGAGTGTCTTCATCTTTTAACACCTACTTTGTGCAAAGCCTTGTAGAATTTAGATAAAGTCCCATAGTAAAAGAGCTTATGATTTATCCTGGGAGTTGAAAACTAAGTAGCCCCCAGACTAAACCCTGGCAAGGGGTGAGTATGTGATGGAAGGTTGAGGTAAAGGGCTGTGTCTGTTGAGAGGAGAGAGGAAAGACTTTAGGTGGGTCTTAGCAGTGGGACTGGGAAGAGATGAGGTGGGAGAGGGATTTTAGAGGAGTGTTTGTGGTCCAGGCAGGATTGCTTTGTGGAGGTATGAAGCTGGGCAAACCTTAAGACTTCAGAGTTTGCTTCCCAGAAATGAGAATGGACACTGTGCAAGACGGTAGAAAAGGTGGAGGAATAGAAGGGTTCGATGGCTTTGTTCTTGAGGAGTAATCATTGAGTAAAAAGGGAGGGCATGTTGGAGACTAGGAAGAAGAATCTCGAGTAGACAGGGCTCAAGAATAGAGGGAGAGTGTCTCAGAGTGGACAAGTCAGTCATATAACATGTGCTAGAGAGACATAGATGGGCATAGACAGAGAAAAGACCCAGGTCACTGGCTCTCTGGGACAGGAGTTCATGTGGGTGCTGGGAGGTCGGCACCACATTTTTTATGGTGACATTCTCAGGGAGGATACGGAACAGTGAAGAAATGGACTCAGGAAAAGAAGGAAATCTTGACAGTGTTTGTAAACAGGGAGAAAATTAAATCAGGAGGAAAGAGTTGCAGATGTGAAGCCCATCAGTATTTATGGGCAGGATGTTTCATGTGAGGTGGAAGGAGAGGGGCCTGGAAGTTCAGGTGGCTTGTAGTCAGTGTTCTGAAGACAGGTGCCTTTTAGATATAGGAAAAAGATGGATGATAGAAACTAGTCCTCCTTAAAACTATCAATTAGACTACTTTGATAAGTCATCTAGTTCAGGCTCTAGCTACTTTAGATAGGGAAGATATTTTTTATTGTCAAGTTCAGAGTTTGAAGTGGCCCCTTTAGCAAGGAGTGATTGTACATGCCTATAATCTTGGCATTTGGGAGGCAGAGGTAGAGGATTGCTGCAAGTTTGAGGCAAACCTGTATAGTAAATTCTGGCTCAGCCAGGGGCTAGCTACATAGCAAGAGCCTATCTTAACCTCCCCTCAGTGATGCCTGTCTTCAGTGGCAAAAGCCTCTACTTAAGTTATGTGTTTGAGATGAAGATCTGCAGGCACCAAGATTAGGGACCATTCAGCTGTTTCCTGCCCTGATTTATGAAGCCGTGAGTCAGCATACTAGAAATCTGCCACCTGTGTTAGGCTGCTAAGGAAGGCACTCCTAAATTTGCTTTTCCCCTGAGTACGCAGAACTGGTTGGGAGATACAGGGTCCTCTGGAGAAAAGGCTG